ACTGCAGCGGGTGGGTGTATACAGATTGTGGGGTCCTATCTGGAGTGTGATTCAGCAGGTCTGGTGGCAAAGCATAGAAGTACATTTCTAACAAGGTCCCAGGCSATGCTGCATGTTGGTTGGGGAGACATGTTTTGAGAACCCAGATGCATTTCTCTCATATGCGATTTCCTCTGGGTCTAACAACTTGTAGGAAATCAGTGTGTCTAATTCAGTTATTCCACAGTATCTGTGGGGGACTGGCTCAAGGATCCCCATGGATCCCAAAATCAGCAGGTGTTCAAATCCCTCATATAAAATGGCATGGCATCTGCATTGAAGCTTCACAGTCCTTCCGGATAGTTTAAATCACCTACGGATGACTTACAATACCAAATACGTCAATACTCCGTAGATACTTATCGTACTGTATTGTTCAGGGAATAATGACAAGAAAAAAGGTCCGTGCACGTGCAGTRCAGATGTAACCACCCCAGGCTCAACTTCATAATTCATGAAGGAGATAGGAGAACATTCAGGTGAGCACTGCAGAGACGGGATCTGTGAACAGGCAGGAGGAAGGGGATGCCTACCCRTCACTTCGTTCACATGGATTCACTGTAGTATGAGGTGTGTGGCAAATTCAATTTTTGCTTTTTGGAATTTTCTGGAATCTGCCCCCACCCCCAGAATATTCCAGAAAAAGAACCCATGGATTTGGAAAACTGACTCTTCTTGTACAGGCAGACCAGGGCTTGAAGAAGGGGGGGTGGGGTGGGGGGAGGGGTGACTCTGGGTTCTCACTGGGTTCTAGGAGCTCCTGCTTCTGATAGCCAGGAAAACCAGAGAGACCGTGACATTACCACAGACTGGGGCTCCCACTAAATCCTGGAACCCTGATTGTGTACACATGTGTGGGCATGGAGAGGGTGGCAGCCCTGGCCAGCAGTACCTGAAGTCTCCACATGTTCCCACTGAGCACAAAGATGAAAAGGCAGATTCTTAGAGGAAATGTACCTGCTGCACCTAAATCTGGTTGTCCACAAGGGTGTGGCCCTTGCCCCATCTTTAGTAACCCTCTGTGGTCAGATGTGGTCAACCCCAGGGATTATCCAGGTGCTTCTACATTGGGGCTTTGGCCTGGTCTCAGCCCAGGGCTGTAGAAGGTGGTAGCAGGGGAGATGGGGAAGGCCTGCCCAGGTTCTCCCCAGGGAGATAAACCAAGGACAGGGCTTGGGCCTTGCCACCCTGGACCTGGCTTCTTGGATCCAGCGCGGGGTGATCGGCKCTCTATGTCTCTGCTCTCTGCAAGTGTGTGTTCCCATAAAGCCTGAACCGTGGATGTCTTCTTCCCACAGCCCAGACGGACAATTTTGCACACTACTTCTCCGCAGGTCTCAGGGCTTTCCGTAGGTTGCTTCTGCTTCTCTGACCTTCAACCTCTCTAACCAGCTTGACTGAATTTTCGGGAAGTSAAAGGGGCTGTGGGAACTTGGGACTCATTGTCCCCAAATCCCCAAGTCAGGCCTCTCACTCCACTTGGAAAGGGAGAGGCATCACTTGACATTCCTGAGCTGCCACTGGGCCACTGCCAGGGTCTGTGGGGGCAGGGGGTGTGGGTTGACAGAACTGGCCAGCTGGAGCGACTTTTTGGAAGGGGGAGCTTTAGATTTGAGGGGAGCCCCTCAAACCCCTGGAATGTAGCCCCCRTTCCTGCTGGACTCCCTCCCATTGCCAGCTGATACAGGCCTCTTATTGGACACAAMGAAATTGCTGCCCGCCAAGTGATACCAGCTGTTGTCCTAGAGCCAAGCGATGCATGCTAAGGGTCAGCAAGGCTGGGGCAAGCTTCCTAGGGAMGCATTAGCCTGGAGGGCAAGATTAATGGAGAACTCTGGGCCACCAGAACAGCAGTCACAAAGCGCAGGCATTAGTTCTGCAGCAGACACACAGAGTACTCGAGTCACCGTGTTCAGGTTTGCCTCTGAGTGAAAAGCTCATCGTGTCATGAGCTGTTTGTTAGTCCTGGACACCGCTCCTCTGAGAAGGGAAGGGTTGGGGGGGGGGCAAGGGCCACAGGCTGCGGCCAGAGGCCTTCTTGGCCACCAGAGACCCTCCTTGAAGGCATCACTCTGGTGGCAGGGCAGAGGTCCTTAGGAGATCTTGTAGTAAAAGGGGCTCCCCACAAGTGGCCACCAAGGTGAAATGATGGTCAGTCATTAATCACTAGATGCAAATCAAAACCATCGTGAGATGTCACCTCATCCTCTACAATGGCTACTACCAAAAACCAAAGCATAAAATAACAAGTGTGGAGAAACTGGCACCCCATGGACCACTGGTGGTAAAGTGAAATGGTATAGCCACTGGGGGACAGCGTAGGATGCTCCTCAGAGCACYGAATTGCCATATGACCCAGCAGTCCTGCTGCTTATCCTGAAAGTAGGGCCTCGAAGAGCTATTGGTCCATTTRTGGCTACCCACTCAGCTTTCTGCATCTTCTAAATTAGGGAGGAACCTAAGGCACGCTGCAGTGTTCAGTGAAAGGCATCTAAGGGGCTGGTTAATACTGTGGGCGCTGGAGCCGTGCTTCTCGTCTGTGTTCTGGGGCCGTCGTGATCTCTGCACAGCCTCATGGTGCTGTGATCTGTTTATCTGCAACGTGGGGGAAAAGCATTATCCACTATAGCCAAGAGGTGGAAGCAACCTCTGTCCACCGATGAAGACATCAACAGAATGTGGCACTGCAATACAAGGGACTATTATTCAGCTTTAAAAAGGAAGGCCATTCTGTCACAGGCTGCAATATGGATGAACATTGAGGACACTGCTAAGTGAAGGGAGCCAGTCACAAAAAGACAACTGCTTGTACGGTTGCACTGATAGGTGACTCATAGAGGCTGGAGAGAAGTAGAATGGTGGTGGCCAGGGCAGTGGGAGGGAGACAGGGAGTTTTTAATGGATACAGCGTTTCCATTTTGCAAGATGAAAACATTTTGTAGATCTGTTTCACAACAATGTGAACAACACATTGTTGTGAAACAGATCTACAAACCCAACGCTACTGGACTGTACTCTTAAAAATGGTTAAGATGGTAAATTTTGTTGTCATTTTTTTAAACCACATTTTTTTTTAATGGGAAMAAAGGAGGGGGCATCGAAGGCCATTTAACACATCTTCCACCTTAGAGATGAGAAAACTGCCACCCAGAGAGCCGCGACTTCCCYGGGGAAGGAGCCCCAGCAGGGCAGGCTTGGCAGACGGTGAAGTGTGTAGGCCAGGAGAACCGCTCTGGGCTGGTGGGCTCGGACTGCACGCCTCCAGCCCAGAGGCCAGCTGCAGGGTGAGATTTTTGTTTTAGGTGCTGGGGACCAAACCAAGCCCTAGTGTGTACCAGACAAGCATTCCACCCCTGAGCTACCCACTCAGCTTTCTGCATCTTCTAAATTAGGGAGGAACCTAAGGCACGCTGCAGTGTTCAGTGAAAGGCATCTAGGGGGTTGGTTAATACTGTGGGCGCCGGAGTCTGCTCCCCATCTGTGTCCTGGGGCCGCCGTGATCTCTGCACAGCCTCATGGTGCTGTGATCTATTTATCTGCAACGTGGGGGAACATAGCACTTCCTGAGGTTGCTGTGGGGTGGAAATGAATTCACTTAAAGGGTTTAGACCATGCTTAGCACCTGGTCAGCACTCAGATATCGGTTGTTCCTGGTAGATACTAAGGCCAGCATGTGTTTGTCCCCTAGCCATCTCAGTTATTTGTTCGCGGCAGCCCCACCTGGCGTCTCACAATAGCCAGTGGTACTACCTGGGCAGGCAGATTGGCTCTGGGTTATAGGACCCCCTGCTGGGCTGCTGGAATGTTCAGATGTCTCCTTGGTCCTAGGTCTGGCTGGGCCAGGAGTGAGCAGCTAGCTCCAGGCTCAGGCCTTCGTCCTCCTTTGCCCTTGGATCCCTCAGGGTTGACAGAGAGCAAGACAGACAAAGGCCAATGTGTATAAGACACTGAGGTCACTCCACGTGACACAGCAGCACAGGCCCTTCCCTGACGGCGACCCTTGCCCACAGATAAACTACAGGTGCTTTTTTGTATTATTATTACGAGCATCCAGCACAGAGGTGTCCCTGGTATTGATGGAGTGAGTGGATACTTGGGACAGGAGTCTGGCTGGTGACGACTACCAGGCCAGGGAGGCAGCAAAGGATTCGTATCACAGTGGAGTGGGAAGGGGACAGGGGAGCAGTGGGGTACTGAGGAGGCAAGAGAATCCTGAGAAAAGGCTACTACTGGTCAGGGAGGGCAAGACAGAGCCCTGACCAGTCCATAGCAGAGGTGACTGACCAGCTGAGTTGGCCAAAAGCAAAGTCCAAGGAGGCACCATCTGCCTCCCTAGGCACTGACCCACCGCAGAAGCTGCTGTGCCCTGCTGCCAGGAAAGTGTGAATTCAGTCCCACCCTGGGTCCTCAGAGGCTCTGGTTACCCCCACCTTTTTCCACCTGCAACTGCTGCCCCGTGCCCAGAGCCCATCTCCGACCCAGACTGGGAAGTCCAGAGCTTCCCTCATCCCCACCTGTGCTGCGAGYAGGCATGGCCAGTCCATCGTGCTAACGTCCTGCCCAGCCCCGGCCGTCTCAGCGCCTGGGGCTCGGTGCTCCCCACCTCTAGAAGACTGGAACAGGCTCTCTGAGGGCTAGGACAGCCAGACAGAACTGTCCAAAGTGCCGCAAAGAGACAGCCCCAGCATGGTTCTCCCCAACAGCAGGCTGCTCCTCATGRAGAGAGGGACCCGAGAGCATCTCCAACACCCCATAACTCCACGGAACACAGAGGGAGGACTCGGATGGTCTTCCCTAGAGCAAGGAAGTGGTGGTGGTGGTGGAGGGAGGTGGCTTCAGGATTTGGGTTTAATCCCAAGCACGAGGGCAGGCAAGGAAAGGATTTGGTTTCATTCCTTCAGATGCCCAAGCCTGGCCAGAGCCCCAGGGTGCAGCAGTGAAGGCAAGCAGCCGCCTGGCCCTACCAACAAAGCCCTCCTTTATTAAATAGAGATCGCGTTACATTCCATTCAAAGAAGGAAATCAGGGCGCGGTGAGGGACATGTCCAGGTTGGATCCCTAACCTTGGTCTGGGTAGGCTGTGATGGRGGTCAGGGAGGGCCAGGTCCTGCCGGCCCCACTTGGCCCCACAGGCAGGGGTCCCTGTTGTACGAGGGGCTGGAAACAGGCGTGGGTCCCTGAGGCCCTCTCTGTGTCTCACTCTTGGAGACAAGCCACCTAGACCTCCAGTAGTTTGGGGAGAACGGCCTCCTGGAGCCCAAGGAGATGGGGGAGGAGGGGACGGGGGCCTTTATGAAGGGGAGAGGAGGGGCCCTGACTCATCTTAAGAACGGTTTCAGTCCTCAACATGTACAGGCTGGAGGGGAGGAGGCCCTGCCAGCCCCTGCCGCCAGAGGCCCTTGACATGGCCAGGGTCACTGGGGCAGTCTGCTGAGGGGCCACCTGGGAACTGGGTGAATGATGGCCACAAGGAGGTGCTGGTGGCCCAGGACCTGAGAACTGAGGTGGCGGATAGCTAGRAGACCCAGCCACCCCAGGACAGTCCCTTTCTGAAGAGGTGGCAGCAACAAGGCACCTGGAGGCAGTAGCTCCAGGACCGGGGTGGGGTACAGACTTCCAGGGGTCCCTCCCAAGGGCTGAACCCCTGAATATGGCTCCTTGGTCTTCGGTGCTTCCTGAAATTCTCCTGGTGGTTGCAGAACCCAGTGGGGGAGACAGAAGGGTCATTTCATGAAGTCCAAGTTTGTCTGTCCCTCTGTCTGTCCCAGGATGGGTGTCTGGTGCTGTCTCCGTGCTGCCCTATGGCCTGGCCGTCTGTCCATAGTGTCAGTGTCCGCTCAGGGCTGGCTCCAGGACTGCACTTGGTGACTGTCTTGCGGCAGGCATGCTCCAGCTAAGAGCCCTCTTGAGCCGGCCGAGCCCTAGGCCTCCAGGGGAAAGAAACCAAGCTTGGCCAGGGACATCTCCCTCCGCAGCCTCATGATCTCCCAGAACATGGGCTCTGCTGTAGGTAGACAGAGGGACAGCTCAGGGTCACCTCAGCAGCTGGCTTGGCCCTCTCCCCTGGCAGTGGGCGGCAGCAGATATGGCACCTCCCAGTCTGACCAGTCTATGCTGGCACACGGTGCCCCACTCAGCAGTGATGACAGAGGCCCCAGGACTGCAGTTGACAGGTTACCAAATACTTTCCAGCCCTGACTCGGGGCTGGCGTGGGTCTGGGAGGCGTCGGCCCCCCGGAGCAGGCAAAGCCTGGAGGCCAGTGAGCCCGCCTTCTGGCGGCCATGAGGCAGCCATGGTGGTTGTGGGGGAAGATTCACTGGAGGACCCCGCTGTGCGGGCCCTTGAATGCCAGGCCAGTAACGGGAAGACTGTCCCTGGAGGACGGGCAGGTGGGACCTCTCTGGTTTGCTGTCCTGGTGGAGAAGGGCCCAGAGGCTCCTATGGCTCATCTCTGTGGAATTCTGAACCCAGGAGGATCCTAATCCCTTTAGACCCACATCTCCTCCTTTGATTGCTTCCTGGGAAATGAGCCCCAGCGTCCTCCCTCTGCCCTAGGGCAGGTGGACTCAAAAGGCACTAGATTAGCCTGGGCGGCACTGCCCTGCTCCACTGCCCTGCTCCACCCCTCCCTTGGGTGCCATCCCTACATTGGCCACCAGGGGGTGCTCACCATCCTGCCGCACCAGGCCTTGCTGGATGTAGCGTATGTAGGTGAAGAAGTTGCAAACGGCAGTGATCTGCAGGCAGAAGTAGGGAGAGTATGACCTGCCAAACTCCCACCCTCGGGTTCCCCAAAAGGCCACGTGGACCTGAAACAGCAGTAGGTTCCAGGTCCCTGGCAGAGCTAGGTAGCACTCCTGGCCTGGAACAGGGCTGCGGCTTTGAAGTTTTAATAAACAGCAACAAGATTACTAGTACTGCTCTAATAACCGCAGGGCAGCCACAGCGCGCTGCCTGTCCATCAATCATGGGTCTCAAATGAGGCATGCTAATCATTCCCATCCAACGTGTGGAGAAATCAGAGTCCCCAAGAACAAAGCACTTGACAACAGCAAGCCCTGGAGCTAATCAGCAGCTGAGTTGAGCCACGCAGCCAGGTAGCCAGCCGGTAGCCTGCCCCAGAGTCTAAGCTCACCTGGGGAGCTGGGCCTGCTGAAGTGGAGGCTGGGCAGTGTTGTTATACCAAGAAAGKCGAGGAATCAGTCCCTCCCGGGGTCCTCCCAGCCCTGTGTTATGGTTCAGATATGAGGTGTCCCCAAAAAGCTCATGTGTCAGCCAACGCAATAATGTTCAGTGGTGAAATGATTAGCTGTTAGAGCTTTACCAGAATCAGAGGATTAACCCAATGATATGGCTTAACTGGATGGTAACTGTAGGCAGGTAGGATGTAGGTCACCAAGGGGTGTGCTTTTGGGGTTGATATTTTGTCTCTGGTGAGCTGAGCTCTCTCTGCTCCCTGATTGCCGAGTCCTGAGCTGCTCTCCTCCACCTTGATGTTTTGCTTTGCCCCAGGCCCAGAGTTATGGAGTTGGCCATCTATGGACTCAGACCTCTGAAGATGTGAGCCAATTAAACTTCTCTTCKAATTGTTCTTGTCAGGTTTTTTGGTCACAGTGAGGGAAAAGGTGACTGAACTATCCAGCCAGCGCCTGAGGGCCCAGTCGGTCCTGGGGCTGCTCCATGCCAAGCCCTGGCGACCCTCCTTTGGCTCAGGTACTGTCACAAGGACTCTCTTACAGTGAAGAAAGAACTGTGGGTCCCCTTGCCAGGGGCCATCCCCAGATTGGGGGGGGGTCCCTGTCCCAGCGGCTGAGAATATAGGCTACTTGTGGCTCACAGATGTCCCCTTCTGCATCCCATACCCCAGCAGAACTAATGACGGACTGGCATGGAGGCTATGTGAGGCCTGYCCCTCGACTAGGGTGGAGCCAGCTCTGTGCTCTAGAGTCCCTGTGGGTCCAGCTGAACATGCGCCCCGAGGCCCTGTCCTGGTGTGGCTCCTTTCCCTCCCCTCTTCTGTGACCACCACTCTCCTAAGAGTTGCATCAACTCCCCATCTTGGCTCCAGGGAGCCCAGTGGGACWGCTGGGAGGTGGCCTGGCAGCTGGGCCCACAGCAGCCCCTGTGGAACAGGACTCTGGGGGAGGGATGTCCCATGTGTGGGGCACCCCYTGGCTGGGGGTGGAGGAGGTTGCAGGAGGGGGCTGTTCACAGGAGCCTAGCGAAGGCAGGAGGTGCAGGACAGCACGAGGGCCRGCCGGGCGTGCTCGAGCTCGGCTCTGCATGGGGGTGAGACGAGAGCAGCCCAGGGTGGGTGTGCACCAGGCAGTGGCGCCCGCTACARGCTCCTGAGCAGGAATGGTGGAGCYGTCCCCTGGGACTGTGCTCCTCCTTGTCAGTCCCACAGGTCTGGATCTCTTGGGATGGGGACCATATCCTAAAATGCCAGACCCTCCTCAGCTTACTTCCTATCCCCATTTTTGCCCAACACAGCTGGACACCGGGGCCAGGAAAAGAAACAAACTAGTAGATGTGATTTTGCMGGGCACAGGAATGGCTGGCGTGGGCCCTCTGCTGAGCTCTGGTTGGGATTTGAAAGGAGCAAAGGGGACCTGTGGCCACAGAACAAGGCTCTGGCCACCAATCCATGGGGCAGCCACTACAGACACAATGCAAAGCTGGGAGGCCCCAGGTCTAGGCCACGTGGCCCTGGGCACCCCTGTCCTTTGCAAAGGGGCACACTCCTTTCCCGTAAACAGGTACTCACTCACCACCAGAAGAGTCCCTTTGAGTGTTCCACAACATACGCAGGAACCAAGAGCAGACACGCTCCCTGTCCAGCCGTGGGGCCCCTCTGTCCACTCTGGTCCTGCCCTCCCAACCTGGCCTCTGGCAGGTCAGGGGGGCAGGTGGTGCCTCACAGCCCATCAGCTTTGCACGTGGGTCAAACATGTCCCCCTCCATCCCTAAATCCTCTTACYACTCAATGGTGGGGCAGAGGAAGGAGAATCCCCAGCCTCAACCCCCAGCTGGCTAACGTCCCCTGACCCARTCGGGGGGAATGCGGGTGGCAGATGGGATTTCTGGAGACCTGCAGCACCCGGGCCTGATCACAGCCTGTGTGCCAGACACACCCCTGAACTTCCTCAAATGTCTGGGGGTCTGAGCATGTGGCTTTAACCTGAAATCCAGCCACTCTCTTGATTAGGTTACTAATCAAAGGACAGAGGTGTGGATGCTACTCCCAGGAGGACACTTCTTACATAAGACCAGGTCTGGAAGACTAGAGGTTCTCCTGGTGACTGAGAAGGCCGTGTGGCAGACTGTGGACAGCCTCTAGAGGCGACAGGGTCCCTGGCCAAGAGAACCTCAGTCCTGACACAATGGGGAACTGAATTCTGCCAGCAGCCACGTGAGCCTGGAGAGAACCCTGAGCTCAGGAAAGAACACATCCCAGCACATCCCTGCTGAGCTTCGCGCAGACTCCCGGCCCTGGACAACAGCAAGACGGGAGCGGTGCATCGCGGTGCATCGCTTTAAGTCACTACGTTTACGGTCATTTGTCATGTGGGAAAAACAGATCAGCGCACCTGGCCTGGCTGTGGCCCACGTCTCTGCACCTCTCTGAGCCTGTTCCCTGCTCTCTAGACTGAGGTACAGTCCAGTTGTGCTCCCAGCCCAAGGAACCGAGGGACCCATAGCGAAGGATGACTCACCCTGGCCCGGGAGGATGGGGAGATGTAGTAGTGACTCTTGGAGTCCCCAAGCCGGATGCGGTGGCGGCAGATACGGGCCAGCCCACTCAGGGCACAYGTGCTGGGGGGACAGCAGAGGTGGCCGTGAGGCCTGAATGGACTTACGCAGAGAGGCAGGCCAGGGGGCGTGGGGTGGGCCTGGCCTCGCCGGCCCCGCCAGCCCCTCAGGGTTCTCCGCTGCCTGCTGACCAGCTCCCGCTCAGAGCCCCACCCTGCACCCCCCTCTCTCCTCAGCCAGGCCTGGGCGACCTCATTCAGCACCTTCAGCCGCTCATGTGCAGGGTCAGCTGGGCTGGCGGGCAGCCCACCATCTGGCCTCCCACTCTCTGGCTCCTCTGGTGGTCCCAGCCTCCACAGCTAACTCTGGRCATCGCCTACGGGGGTCTCTCCTCCCCTCCACCTGGTGAGCCACCATGTCCCCAGGATACGTCTGCCTTTAGCCCTGATTCCTCAGCTGCTCGCCTCACCTCCTCCTCTCTCCTCCATGTACCGGCCAGGCRCTCCTCCCAACACCCACATCTATCTACCGCCTTTCCCCGCGGCTTCCCTGATGCCCAGGAAGTGGTTACGGAGGGTTCCGAGTCAAGGGAGGATGAAACACCACCCTGGCTTATCCCCCTGACCAGCCTCCTGCTGCACAGAGCACCCTCCTTCCAGCGTCCCTCTGCTACAACATATGAACAGCCGGCCTCGGTGGCTGGTGCCCAAACCTGTAGAGGCTCTGAACACCTGCACAGCCTCAGCCCCGGTGCCCCACCCACCCCACCAYTCTGACCCGGCCGAAGGTGCTCCCGTCCATACGCAGCACCTCCTGCCCTCCTGACTCTGCGCCCTCCACAGGAAGGGCTCTTCTCTCCCTGGCTAACTCCTCCTTCAAAACCTGGCTCAACTGTTCCCTCCTCCAGGATAAGGCTCCCCAGGGTGCCGCCCCTCCTGGGCCAGGTCTCCGCTGTCCAGGGGAATCCTCCCCACACTGTGCTTCTGGTCTGCCCTGGCCCTTGTGTGCTGCCACTGCCCCTGCTCAATGCGGGGTGAACAGTGGGGAGGACAAGATGCCAGGGCCACCGAGTTACTGACTGGCAGGAGGCAGAGCCAGTCACTGACAATCACTGATGTGTTGACTGGGTCCAAAACCCCCCGTGGGAGAGACAGGGAGGGGCAGGGCGCATGCAGCAGGTCAGCCAGGAAGAGCCTGTGCCGGGGGCGGGGGGCAGYGGGGCTGGACCCTGACATTCTGTCACACATGCCTCCTGGCCCTGCAAGGGGCAACTGTGCCTCTCTTATCAGGTCACCACGTTCCCAGGCGAGGTCATGCACCAGGGGCCCCTGCCCACCCTGGGGCCCTACACCAGGCCCAGGCAGCCTGAGCTCGGCCTTTCCCGACCCCCACCTCGGTGCGGCTCCAGGCCCCGTGGGGGCTTCCCCATGTGTGCAGGGAAGGCTGAGGGTGCCCAACTTACTTGGCACTGCCACAGTCCACCTCAGCCGCCTTCCCTGTGGGCAGGGGCTGTGAGGCCACGGGCTCGATGGTGAGCGTGTTGTCCTCCACGGCGGCCCGGACCAGCGCCGAGAGCTGCAGCAGACCAGGGCAGCAGGTGGAGCGGTSAGGGCTGGGCAAAGGCGGAGGGGCRGCTGGGCCGGGCCTCCCAGATGGCCGCCCTCCCCGCCTCACCTCCTGCACGGTGAAGTCCAGGCAGGGGCCCACGTCCTCGCGGTACACTCTTTCCAGGAAGGGGCAGGCCTTGTCCAGCGTGGGCGACGCCCTCCAGGCCTGGAACTCTGCAAACAGGGTTGTGTCCACCTAGCAGGGAGGGCATGCAGGGTGAGGGTGGTCAGGGCAGAGAGCGGGCATCGCAGGGGAGGCAGAGCTAAGGGAGAGGAGAGCCAGGGAGGTGTGGGGCAGGCTCAGCAGCCACCAGACTGTCCCCAGCAGCCGTGCAGGGGAGCCGCGTCCAAGGGAAGAACTCTCTGCCCTTTGCACCCAACAACTTTGAATTCAAAGTTTTGTTCTAGGTGTGCTGTAAGTGTTGAGTGCTAGACTACAGATGTGGGTCTGGCCTCGTCCCGATGACCCTCACTGCCTCTTCAAGCAAACTGGTGGGAACCCACAGGTCCCTGAGGGCACSGGACACACTCAGGCACATACACACAGGCCTCCTGCTGCCCACTCAGAGGGGCAACTGTGGCCTGCCCTGGGCTGCATGCAGTGTGTGGAGAGGTAGCGGGGCAGACGGGACGGCCCCTCTCTGGAGCCATTACCTGCTGGGAAAAGGAGAGAGAGGTGGCAGAGGTGGGGGCTGCGGGCGGCTCCCCGGGCGGGAGCTGCCAGGCCGGCTCGTAGGTGAGGTGGATGGCCTTGCTGGGGATCACGCAGAGGAGCAGGGAGAGGAGAGGGGGAAGCCCAGGCTGGGCCATGGGGTAGACAGACAGACAGACAGGTGGACAGAGACAGGAGGAATGAGGAGATATCAGTGTCCGACAGGAAGCTCAGAGCTCAGAAGTGGGCCAAGAGGTCTATTTGCTCCTCTTCCCTGTAAGCTCTGGAGACAGACAGAGGACAGGACTGAGCCGGGTGGGCTGGACATGACACCCGGGAAGCTGAATCCCACTACACCTGTCTCGGTGTCCACTCGATGCRGCCTGAGCTGGCTCTTGACATCAGTGTGTCATCAGTTTCTCCCGTGGTCSCAGGACACTCCATTGACCACATGAGGGAATGGGGGTGCTAACAGGTGGTTTCATTTGTCTTGGGACCTGTAGCCATGAGTGCCCGCCCAGCCAGGTCAGGAGAGACACCTGTCCAAGGCCAGCTTGTACCAAGAGCTGCCGAGGACTCTGAGTACAAAGAGTGTCACAAGGTGGTCCTGGGCCTTRAGGCCAGAGAGCCCGAGCAGAGCCCCACCAAAGCCAGTCCAGGTGCAGAAACTACCACCTGCCACTTGGAGCAGACAGGGGTGGCTATCAGACACTCTAGAGGCCAAAGGCTAGACACCTCAGCACAGAGAGGGGCGAGCCAGACTGCAGATCACACAGCAAGGGCGCAGGTGTCCTCATCGGCCTCTCCTCTGTCAGTGGGCACCCCGTTCCCTCCCATGCACACTGCCCACCTGCCTCCTTACCTCTTTGCCCTCCTTGTCTGGGGTGAGGGTGTGCCCTGCAGCGGGGCACATGACAGGGCAGAGGGTGCTGCTGGTGCTCTTATGGCGCGAGTGGCCCTTTCTGGGCCCAGCCTTGGTGGGGCTCAGCAGCTGCGGGTGGAGCTCTCGGTTGGGAGAGGCTGGAGTGGATGTGATGACCAATGTCTTCAAGGCCGTCACCTCTGCCTGCAGCATGTCGATCTGGCCCAGATGGATGGCTGTCAACCTAATCCAGTTATCAACCCCCTGGCTCCCACCATCCATGGGCCCAGAGCGGGACAGCCTGTGCCTAACAGCAACCAGCGCCTAACCCYGCCTGCCCCGGGGAAACTGAGGCTCAGAGAGGCGATGTGGCCGGCCAGAGGTCACACTGCAAACAAGACTTGGTGGGGGACAAGTGTCTGGGAGCTTCCCTGGTGACCCACTGAGTGTTCTGGGGTCCCTGGAAGGCAGGAGCAGCCCTGCTTCACATTTTCCTGCTGATCCAAAAGGCTCCGAGAGGAAGCTACTTGGTTTCTGCTTTGCTAAGGAGGGTGGGAGGAAGGAGGAGGAGTTACAGCAACCACAGGTCCTTCCAGTCCCCAGAAGGCTCCAGAAAAGTCTCAGTGGTTCAGAAGGAACACTAGGGGGGTCCAGGGCGCTGGGCTATGGGATCTCAGACACCCCCACCTCCCTGGGCTGGGGCTGGCCTGGAGGATCTGGTTGGAGAGCCCAGGCCAATGCTCGGGGTGGGGTGCGCCCTATGGCGGGCGCCCCAGGCTGGCCTGGGCAGAGGGACGGGCCTCACCTTGCCCCGGGCCTCCTTCAACTGTTTTTCTGATGCTGCCTGCTTCATGTTGGCTTCCCGGACCATCTTGTGGGCTTCCTGGAAGAGGGCAGCCTCGGTGTGAGTGGCTGGGAGCTGGACCCCTGGGCCATCCGCCCCGCAGGCTGCGCCCGCCCGTCCGCCCACCAGGCGTACCTCGAACAGGCTGGCCGTCAGCTCCTCCAGCTCCTGCTCCAGCTGCTCCCGCACCCGGCACAGCCGCTCACATTCCTCGTCCTTCAGCTTCAGCTCCTGGGACAGAGGGGACTGTCAGCCTCGTGGGAGGCCCCAGCCCTGGGTGGGCCCGGCCATCGTGAGTGGGGCTCTGGGCTGCCAGCCGACTTCCTCTGGTGCCCCCGACTCTGTGCCTCTTCTACCAGCCGGCAGCATGAGACCCAAAGCCCACCTGACAGCCCCTCAGATCTGGGAACAGGTTTTCAGACAAGTCAAGGTCACGTGACAGTCACTATAAAGACTCGGAACGCTGGAGCGTGGCCAGATGGCCAAGCCCACGAGGGCCCGGGTTTGAGTCCCAGCACCCTCCAAAAAAGACACAAAAATGGGTTCCTGCTTTGCAGTTCTCAGGTGCCTGCACTGGCCTGGCTTGCAGCTGGCCGCGTCAGTCACTGTGTCACCCGGCTTTCCCAGGCTGGCTCCTCCTCTCCGAGGTCCCTACCTTTTGGGCTTTGTGCAGCTCCTCCTTCAGGAACTCTGAGCCCTTTTCCCGGATCTCCATGGAGGAGCTGCGCAGGCGGGACACGTCCAGCGGGGCAGCCGCGGGCTCCTCCTCCCCTTGGGCCTCCTCCCCTGCGGAGGCCTCCACCAGGGATCCTGGGGACTCCCTGTGGCCTTTGCAGGAACCCACGTTCTTCCAGGGGACAGGGACAGACGCGAGGGGTGGAGGGGGGGCCTCGTCTGGCTGGGGTGGGCTGCAAGGCAAACAGAGGCATCAGTAGACACAGGGCAGGCTTCTGAGACCTGCCCGAGGGACAAGCCCCGGGCACCACGCCTGCCACCTGGGCCTCCGCCTTTCCATCTGTAAAAGGGGACCACAGGCCATAACCAGGCTGTCACGAAAGCATGTTGGTAGAGCACATGTTCTCTTAGGGGCAAGGACGGGGCTCTTGAACCCTTGTCAACCTACAGCCCAGGGACTGGGCCGGCAGCAGATGCTTAGCACACAGCTGTGCTCAGTTTGCGTCTGTCGAACAGATGACTGTACACATGCGGATGCTGAGGCTCAGTCTCCACCTTACTCAGCAGGGAGATCCAAGTGACTGTCAGCCCCAAGGATGGGGGGCTGTGTGTGCATAAAACCTCATCACCCGGGAGGCACTGAAGTGAGAGCTACCTTCATTGATAGTACAAATTCATGATGTAGTTAATGTGAAAATTAACGCACATGTTAATAAGAAATAGTTATTGCAAATTCCACTCCTTTGGGTGGGGGGGAGTCAGAGAGGAAGCATGAGGCTAGGGTAAGCAGGAAGATTCTGCAAATAGCCCAGGCTACACAGACCCACTTCCTGTCCCCCTGGACTTTATGGGGGGCAGTTCCAACTCTCCCCTGGCCTACAGTGTATCCTCTGAAAAACACCCCCTTCTCCAGGCCTCGGGACCTCCCTCCCTGAGGCTGAAGACGCTGGAGTGCTGGGGCCTCTGCCCTCCACCCGCCCCCCAGCCACACTCCCCCTCTGGAAGGGGATCCTGCAGAGGGAAGGGCGGGAGGGCTGGCCAGCAGGGGTTTGTGCCAAGACAGCACCTCTGGATTTGCTCACTCAGCAAAAGCTGGGGGCTCCTGAGCCAGCAGCTTCTGAGCAGCAGCGGCTGGGAGGGTAGGGTGGGGGGCTGGGCTGGTGGGGGGGCTGGGCCTCCGCTGATAACAGTGGGGAAGTGCGGGGGAGGGGCCCAGAGAGGCCCACTGGAGGAGAGGAAGGACAAGGCCAAGGAGACGGGACTTGGGATAACTGAGGAGGAAGGGTGAGAGGCTGCTCTGGGGCCTGTCCCTCTTCCCTGTCCTCAGGTTCCCAATAAGGCCACCCAACAGCTTCTGAACCTAGCGTTCCTCTTGGTAACACAGACACTGAGCACCCAGAGACCCCAGCCACAAGACTGTTCCCAGTCTTCCACACGGCCCTGTCCTGCTGCCCACTGAGCCTGCCCTCTGCCTGGGAACTGGCCCAGCATGGGGCCTCGAGGTCCTGGGGCTGGACTTGGCCTGGCAGGGACTTGGCCTTGATGAATGAGGCCAGGAATCCAGGGTCCATCAGCTGTGGTGGCTCAGGGTCTCTAAGGTTGGAGGGGCTAGGGCAGGTCCTTCAAGCCCCCTACAGCTATACTGTGGCCCCACGGGCTGGGTCTGTGCCCAGGGGGTCACACTGTGCCAGACCCCATCCAGGGTGCTCTGTCCTCATTCAGGACTCTGCACAGCACTCACGATGGTTCCCATTCTACAGATGAGGGGAGGGAAGCTCAGAGAGGGAAGGGACTTGGCTGGGGTCAMGCCGCTGGTCAGTGACAGTGCCAAGACAGGCAGTCAGGTCTTCAGCCCAGGCCAAAGCTTCCTGAGCAGCGGCCCAGCAGGAGGACGAGGAGCATGAGTGTTAGAACCCATGCCTGTCCCGGGATCAGGGACTGCTGCGCCCAGGGGGACTCGGGAGGCTCCTCCTTGGCTGCCACAGGGACATCTGACCCAGTTCCCTCCCCAGCTGCAGTCCCCACCTTTCTGGGAGGGAGAGCCTGGGCCAGGAGAGCTGTGGCCAAGAGGACAGCCAGGCTGTGTCCTGGGGTACCTACGTGTGAGCCCCTGGAAGTGTTCTGAAATCCTCTGATCCAGCCACTCCTGGGGGTGGGCATTAAAACCCTGAAGGAGGAACCCAATAAGGAGTCACTCGACACGGTGCAAAGTGAACGGCGTTCAATCCACAGCCAATTTGACAGAGACCATCGCCTACCAGGCTCTGGGTCCCTCAGCTGAAACCCCAGGCCCAGAGAGAGGGGAATGTACTCCTGGAGGCCCACATCCTCAGGTGGCAGAGGGGAGTCATAGTCATTAAGGCCACGCCAGAAGCAGCAGATCCCATTAGGGTGGGGCCACCCACTCTGACAGAGTAAGGACTGCAATCTACGGGCCGGAGGTGACCCACAGGACAGCCTAGGACATGGGACAGGATCCCAGGTCTCAAACACCAAGAGCTGGTGCCTTTCCCCAGGCAAGGACCTCCCTGCTTCACCTACACCCCACCTGGAGGAACAAGACTGCCCGTCCTTCCCCAGGGACCAGCGTGGGCCTCTGGGTCGCAGGGAGGGCCTCCAAGGGCAGGGCTGGGGCTGGGGCTGGACCTTCCCCCCCAGGCTCTCCTTCAGCTCCCTGTTAGGGGACACAGTGGCCCAGGAGGCCTGAGACGCGGTCTCTAGAACATCTTCTCTTCCCCCTGGTGGAAAAGCCCAGGCTCACACCCTAACGACAGGAAGTGTCGGGACAGCGGGGCCACCCCACAGACACCAGCTCCCCATGGCCTGGGCCACAGCAGCAGGAGTGAGAGAGGAAGAGGGCCCGGCCTGGGCTGGGAGGGAAGCTCCAATCTGCAGACCCCCCTCCCCTCCTGCTTCCGGACTTCGAGGCCAGCTCCTGTGACTCAGAAAATTCAGAGGAAGGGATGATCCAGGCCTCCAGGTCCAGCAGAGCCAGAATCCCCGATCCTCCTCACCCTGCAGCCTCCAGGAGCAGGGGCTCCCCAACCCGGGTGTGGCCACCAGGCATCCCTACCCCTAGTCAGGCCCATCCCTACAGRAACAGAGTCCTGCTTCCAGGAAGGGTCTGCCTGGGGTGGAGCTCCTCAGAGTCAAGGTCAGAGGTAGGCGGGGCGGCCAGCATCTCCCATTCTAGAAGTCAGGTCCCAAGCCCAGGGAGGCTGCAGCTCATACAGGAAAGGCCACACGGGGTCACTTCCCYAGGAAGCACACGACCAGGGGGAAAAGCAGACGCTGAAGTCCTCAGCCCACCAGGCCTGCCCTCAGGGGCCCCGCTGGGTTTCTGTCCCCACTCACAGAACAGCAAAACAAGGACTCCAGGACTCTGTGGCCCCCAGTCACTCAGTCACCCTGACTGGGCCAGGAGAGCCTGGTCAGAGGCCAAACAGGACCCAGTGTGGCCCTCTGAGGGTTCCACCCTTCCCTGCCTGCCAGGCCAGCCTGCCCCTTGATAAGTGCCCAGGATGTCCCTGCAGTCACCTTCTKCAGTAATGGACAAAATGGGTTCACAAAATAAGCAGGGGAGGGGACACTCAGGACAGCTCTGAAACTGGGAAAAGGACCGAGCAGGGAGGACACACTGGGAGCTTGACCCTATGCCCAGGGGCACCAAGTCTGATCTCCAGGTAAGCTGCAGAAACCTGCCCAGGGCCAGCGGAGACGGGCACTCAGGGTGACCAGGCAGACGGAGGCGACCAAGGCTGATAGCCACAATGTGAAGGGCTCCCAGGAAAGGTTCTGTGTTCAGCCTACAAGCCCTAGCAAGACCCACAAGCACACAGGGTTCCCACGCTTTGGACCATGTTCATGGCAGCCCACTGCCTGAGCATCCAAGGGTGTTACTGGTGGGGACTCAAGACGGCGCTGCGGAGGGTGCATTCCCCACCCTGGTTCGAACAACCAAGCACCTGAGGTTCAGAGAGGGTTGGTGACCTGGCTGGAACACCCAGCAAAGCAGCAGCAGGATGGGGATGAATCTGGAGTGCAGGCACAGTGTCACGTGACCTGTCATCAGGAGGAGAGGGGATGAAGGATGGTTTCAGAGAAGTGAGGCAGGATGCGGATGGGMTTTGAGGAAGTTTGAGATCGGACTAAGTGGGGGTGGCGATGGTGGAGGGTGATGCCCAAGGAGGCTGCTGCACTAGCCAGGCAGGCCCTGGCCTGGAGGGGACAAAGACTCTGAGGGGGAACCGTGGGAGGACAAGGGGGCTGCAGGAAAAAAATACAGTAATTGATTAATTAAGTAATTAAACAACAAGGAAGAGGAGGAGGAGGGAATCGGTGTCCCCAAGATGGAAATGAGGAACTGGGACAGGGCTCCCGGGGAAACGAGAGGGGGTGACGAGGCATCTGGGAAGTGGCACCGGCTGCGGGCGGCTGAAGGGGAAAGGCAGGACAGAGGCAGCTGTTGGGAGGCCCTCCCRCAGCTCTAGGCAGGGCCGGGGGAGACAGGAGAGCCAGAGCAGGACCTCAGGGTGGGAGAGGGCGGTGGTCCTCCTGGTAGAGCCGGAGCTGGGCCAGGATCCAATGAGCTCCAGGCAAGGAGGGGCAAAGGGACAGGCGGGAGCCAGGGTGGGCCGGGCACTCCCAGGAGGGGCAAACAGGTGGGGGGGGAGCCTGCCTGCAGCAGCAGGTCCTGGTTGGAAGAGGAGCGGGGGAGGAGCAGGTCAGGACACGTGGAGCAGGTAGCCAGGCCAAAGCTCCCCTGCCACTCAGCCCTGTCTCTCCACTGGGGACCAGTGCCAGGCGGGGGCAGGTGGGAGTCTCCCTCTCTACTGTAGAAGGCAGGGCACACGGCACATGCCTCATAAWGCCTGAGGGGGACCCCCATGCATTCAGTCTAAGAACTGACACCAACCAAGATTTCAGCCATCCAACATGGGCCTAGTGAGCACCTATCATGTGCCAGGAACCCCAGGGGCCCTGATCCTTCCAGTCTGTAGGACCGGACAGACTCCAGGGGAACATCACTAAGCCCCCTGCTCCCCACATTCTATTTCATTTTGTAGCCCCCCACACACACACACACAACTTCGCTTCCTTCCCAAAGCCATCAAGCACGAATCTAGTGCAGACACTGGAGAGTGCAGGTCAAGCAGGGCTCTGATGAGGTCTGAGCCTGTGCGCAAATGTGCTGACAAAGGATCGGCAGGAAGGATATCACACCTGTGGGCAGGGAGGGCAGGCAGACCATGGAGGGCTTCTGGGAGGTGGCAACAGTGAGCACTCACTAGAGATAAGTATGAGTAGCCCCCAATCTGTCAAGGGGKAAAACTGAGACCAAGGGGCTGCACCAATGTCGTGTGGCCACTTGATGGTAAAGAACCAACCCAGATTCTGGTCTCTGCAGATCAAGTCTCAAATGCCCAGCACTGTGTTAGGTGTAGAAGTACCTTAGATGCCATCCCTACCCCATCATTCTGAAGCAGGTTTCACACCCAAGACCTCGGACGTGTGAAACCATGGCAGATGGGAGAGAAGCAGCACCTTAAAGTTAGACTGGTGGGAGCTGCCTGCAGCAGCAGGTCCTGGGAGGAGGAGGAGGAGGAGGAGGAGGAGGAGGAGGAGGAGACACGTGGAGCAGGTAGCCAGGCCAAGCCTCTCCTGCCACTGGGTTCAGAGTCCAAGGCCCATGCTTGAGAGTCTCAAGGGAGAGGACACCCCCCTCCCCCAGCTCCTGCAGAGTCCAGCTACTGCTGCCCACCCCAGGAGAGCAGCCCTAAGTCTAGGGCCACAAGGGGACAGGGAGTGGGACCTGTCCATGAACAGTCACCCAAGAGAGACCACAGTTCGTTGGACAGATGCGGAAGCTAAGCTCCAGAAACACAGAGGGTTAGCCAGGTCTCCCAACTCCTGGTCTAGGACCAACAGCCCCCAGGACACACATCCCAGAATTGTCATGAGCTTCTGGGGTCACAAGCACAAGTCACTTAGTGCTTGTGCAAGTGTGACCCTGAGAAGAGTCCTCCTCTGCTGCTGGGATCTGGGTGAGCTCTTAGGACACCAGGCCTAAGTGGGTGCTGGCACCTTGACCCCTGATCCCTAAATCTCTGCCTTCATATCCACATGAGGGATCCATAAAAATGCAGTGCTCAAGGTAACCCCAAACTCTGCCTCTCTAGGGTGCCCAGCTCCTCATTCTGCCCTTGTTTCCATCTGCATTTATGAAGTCCCTACTGTGTGCTCTGTATCCAGCTAAGTCCCAGAGGACCCACAGGTCCACATGGGAAGTGTGCCGTACTGAGGACTGCATGTGGAGGGGTCAGTTTGGCAGCCTGGCTCATCTACGAGGGTCCTGGAATATGGCAGACAAGGCCTTCTCTAAAACCTTGAAACTCTTCCTCTGTCCCTACAGAGAACATCCATCTACTGGGCCTTGTCTGACYCTAGCCTGGGTGCCTCCAAAAGAGGATATTCTTGAGGATGGAATCACTGCTACCCTACAACCTACTTATTTCACCTAGAGGCCCAGAGAAGGGAGCCCATACCCCTAGAGTCACACAGCAATTCAGGGGTTGTTTTGCCTCAGTCCACCCAACACAAAGGGTCACAAGATTCCTCCAGACAAGGCTGCTCCCCAGACACATTTATCCCTAGGGTAAAACCCATCTATCCCCAGGTAGGATTGTCCTAACCTCTCCAGGCACCACAAAGCCCCTTAGTCACTTTCTCCCTAAGCCCAGCCTCCTTCCCCCAGGGCATAATTCCAGGAAAGAGGCTCGCCTTCAACTCTGCCTTCAACTCTGCCCCTCAGGAGGCTCAAGCCTCTCCACACCTCACCCCTACCAGGGACCCCATTACTTTCTGAGCACCTCAGCTCAAGTTCTGCTGGGTGCCATGGAGGAAAATGGATCCAGCTTGCCCATTTGTGGGGGTGGGGGGTGGATTGGGGGAGTGTTACCCACTCGCCTGGTGTGGCAGGGAGGGACCTGGGTCCTGGGACAACTCATCTGGCCAAGTGCTTTACAAGAATACACCCCCAGTCATGGAGGAGACAAAGTGCTCCCCAACTCCATGGAAAAAACCTCAACCTTTCTGCACCCCCAGGGCAGGGGTCCCTCCATCAGACCAGCAGGGAATAGGAACCACCTGAGAAACAATGGTCTGGACAGAGAGGGGTCCTGGGGCCACTGACCCAGGACCCAGAGCCTATGCTGGCCCCTTTCAGGCTGCAGGGAGGTCCCAGCCACTCCACAGCTCCGAGTACCGGSAAGAGGTTTGGCCATCAACTTGCCTGCGACCTTGGAAGACCCAGCTCCTCTCTCCCAGCCCAACTGCTTTCCAAGAGCTCATCCGGCGAGTGGAGGGGTGTCCCTCCTTGAGGTGCGCGCCCCAGGGTTACTCTGGCAGGCACAGGTCGGCAGCCCGTCCCCCCACCGCCACCGTCGCTTGCCCTCCGGGTGAGCTAGGAGGAGCTGGCTCGGTGGCCCTCCTCACTCCCCACCCCGAAACCCCCAAACGCTCCGAGGTCTCTTCCATCTTCCCGGCTCCACGCCGGCTCGCCCGACCTCAGCCCCAGGCAGGGCTGGGGGCGCAGACCGTCCCGGGTGGGGCGCAGGCTCGGCGGGACCCCCACTCTCCCGCCCCCGGAGGCGGCGGCGGCCGAGACCCGGCGCCGGCCCCCGCGCGCGGACCCACCAGCTCCACATCCCGGTCGAGGTGCCCGGCGTCGGCTCCCCGCGCCGCTCCGCGCTGCGTCCCCGCCCGCCGCCAACTCCGCCCCGGGCCGGCAGGGTGTCCCGCTGCCTGTCAGTCCCGCCCGCAGCCAGTCGGTCGCTCTGCGCCGCCGGGGACCGCGGCTCCGGCGCCCGCCGCGCCCCGCCCCTGCCCGAGGCGGGTCACGTGGCCGAGGGGCGGCCCCAGGACACGTGCCCGGCCACGCCCCTCCGCCCGCCGGACGCGCCGAGCTCGCACTCGCTCCCGGGCCGCCCAGCCCCGCTGCGGGCCGCCGAGCCCTGGAGTCGGTGAAGAAGGGCCCCTGGATCAGGCCCCCGGGCTGCGCCCGCCTCCGCCGCTGGTTSTCTCCGCAGCCCCCTCCGCCCGGCACCGCGCAGGAGCCTCACAAAGGCGGCGAGGGTCAGATGCTCCCGGGATTGTCACTCGAGGCCCGCAGACACCCTCCTTCCCACTCCCCAGCCTCTGCCCCTCAGTGACACTCTGCCTCAGCCCTACTTCGGGGATCCTTATCCCCAGGGGGTGTCTGTCTTTGGCCCAAGCCCCCCACCCAGCCTCCCCAAACAGGGGCCTGCTATTCTCCAGCCACTGGACACCCCTGCCCAGCCCTGCCTCTGCCCCCTTCCCACCATCTACCCTCTGCAGAACAACATGGCCCACACGTGCCCGTCGAGTCCGCCGCCTCGGAAAACCTTTACCCGAGTCTCTGACCACTACTCTACCTGCCGGCCCCTCAGCCCCGCTCCCTGACCATTGGCCAGAACTTCAGTCTGGACCTGGAGCCAGTGAGGGCAAACTCCCTTCTCTCCTGCCAGTGACTGGGGCTTCTACCATCTGGCCCCGGAGAAGGACTGAGGGTTGGAAACAAGGACCTTCCCCTTGCAGAGGCCACCAGAACGATCGGTGCTACTCTTCCAGGCCACAGACCCTGGGGCCCAGGCTGAGTTCTTGACTACTGCGCTGCAGCCTAGCCCATGTCTGAGGGTGACAGGTCTTCATTTGGGGGACACATTTCATTCATTCATTCAGCCACCCCTTCTGAACACAATCTATGGGCCTTACAACCATGACAGGGGGACCTAGAAGGAAATTGTACAGATATAGACCCTGCCTTCCTGGGRCTCCAATATGGGATCCTCCCCCCTCAGCCTCCCCAGTGGCTGAGACAGGTAAGTACCATTAACGCCCTGCTTGCCTAGGGCATGACTTGCAAATGTGGTGTCTCTGATCAAAATAGAAAAGGGTGCTCTCTTTCCCACCAAGGTACAGGACTTGGTGAGTGGAGGCCAGGCTGGATTTCCTGCCTTGCCCACTCCCTTGGCTAACACCTTATCTAGTGAACAACCTGGACAGCCCTCCATGGCATCCCTTCCAACTTTCCAGAACCATTCRGCCCAGGCTCCTACACAGGGTAATTGTTTGCAGGATTATGGCTTCCAGAGGACAGGGACCAGCTTGTGGGACCTGTGTTCCTCTACCCACCCGAGTCCAGCACAGATGTCAACATGTCTGTTGACTTGCTTCCTTCACCAKCGAAGCCTTGAGCAACGGCTGTCTTCCTGCTCCTATCTGTTCACCTTTTTCTTCCTTTTTTTCTTCTTCTGTGCAGTCCCGGGGATGGAACTCGAGACCTTGCAGATGCTCGGCAAGTCGTCTGCCCCAGTGAGCCACATTTTCAGCCCTTTTTATTTTAAGACAGGGTCTCGCTAAGTCATGACCCAGGGTGACCTGGAAATTTTGTTTTAGGGATAGAAGGAGGAGACACAGAAGGAGCCCAAGATARAGCCTTGCCCTGTGAGTCCGCAAGCCCGGGCAGGAGATAGCTGATTCCCCTGACTAGGGGAATCTAAGGGGTGAAGAGGTTACAGCCCCAGAGAAGAGTCCACAGCCGAGGAGGGCTGCTTGACTAGGGAGGCCCTTGAGAGAGGCCTCAAAGGACAAGTGTGTGGTCACCCTTCTGGGAACACTGACATCCAATTACTAACCAAAAATATCCTGTCCTCTGTGCCTCCAGTCGACTGTGGATTCCCAGGCTTCACTGCCTCTTCCCAGAGCACAGTGAACCCTGTTCTTCCACTAAAAAGGGATGGGCCCAGAGAAGTTAAGGTGCCTGTCTGATGTCACACAGCCAGGGGTAGTGAGGACCAGTCTGCTTACACCMGTTTTCCAAAAAAAATCAGCCCCCAAACCAGAGGGCTCACAGGACACTGCAGCTGCCTACAGTCAGAAGGGGGGCCCAGCAGGTAGAGAGGGAGAAATAAAGGTGTTTCCTCTGCCCACAAGCCACTGCCCTCTTCAACTTCCTTCCCGTGTGGCCCCTGCCATTCCCATCTCGGGCTTGGTGGCTTTAACCACAGAGTCTTAGCTGAGGGCAGGTGAGAAGCCTGGGTGACCCAGTCCCCGATTCTGGACTGAGGTGTGTCCTTGGCTCACTGTGTGGCCCAGAATGAGTGCCTTGCCCTCTCTGAGCTTCCATTTCCACTTCTGAACAACCATCAAGTGGAACAAGGCCATCAGAGCTACCAGCTGGAAGTGACCTTGTTAGAGGCTCCTGAAACTTGCTCACAGGTCCATGCCAGCACCCTGTCGGGAGCCCAGCTTCCACCTGCCCCTGTGTTCACGCGGTGGCAGGACCCCGTCCCCCGTGTCCCAGGTCTTTAGCTCACCTGCCTGTGTCCCAAGGCTCCTTTTTCAAGCACTTCAAAAGGGCAGGACCCGGGCCTGATGGGGCATAGCGCACAGTCCCCGAGCTCATGGCCAGGAACACTGGGCATGTCCCTCTGGCCGGGCACCCGGYGGGCTCCTTGGAGGCATCCATTCTGGAGGGGCCAGGCGGAGGGTCTCCGTGGATACCGCCGGGAGGTCAGGTGGCTGTGGCTGCTGCCCGCCCCAGGCGATCCCCACACTAACCTTTGCTATCTCTAGGAGCAGCAGCCCCAGAGGGCGTAGCCTCCCAGATGGGCCTCTATCTCCTCGACCCATAATTATTAACTCCCAGGCTCAGAGCAGCAGAGGAGTCAGGGGCCCTCCTTCCTGGGCTCTGGGCCCCSGGGGTGGGAAGCTCCCCCTCAGAGCCTGAGGCCCTGGGCTTTCCCTAGGCACAGAGCGGGCTGCTGTCCCCTCACCCCTCTCCTCCCAGGTCGGCACAGTGGAGAGAGCCTGTCCGGCTGGTCCTGTGGACAGCTGGCTGTGTGGCCTTGGACAGGCCCTGACCCACCAGCCCAGCCTCAGTAGCCCTCCACACTTCAGCCACCATGACCACGGRACATTCTGTGAGCAGTTGGGAGCTCAGGCCTGGAGTCGGGCTGCATCAACCGCACTTCTAGCCCCTCCGTGCCTCAGTTTCCCCAGCCACACTGTCACCCTCTGAGGTGCACCAGGCCAGCAGCCATGACCAGACACCCTCTAAGCCGCCTGCCTCCCCACACTCTCCCCTCCGTCTGCCATTTCCATCCCACCCTGTCTCTTGGCTCATCCTCCGTCCTCCAGGAAGCTGTCCCCTCTGCAGCACAGCGCTGGGGCCCTCAGCTTTGCGTCATGAACGTCCTTGGGAACTCTCAGATCCTCTCGCAAGATCCTGACGGCCTTATGGCAGAGACCTGCCTGCTCTCCTCACGGTATCCTTCTCGGCACCCCCTGGCCTGGCGCACGGTCAGCCTCGACCCCGGTGTGGAATGTCTGTACGTCTGTGTGAATTCTAATCCCCGTTCTGCCCTTCTCTGGCTGGGTGACCTTGGGCTAGTCACTTAACCTCTCTGGGACTCAGTCCAACCACCGTCTATGAAATGGGAAGGAGCACTTTTCCCCTGTGAACTYGTGAATCAAAGAAAGACAGTCACCTTGGACAGTGTCTGCCACGGCCTTGAGTGAGGCAGGCTTTCCTCTCCCCTTCTCCTTCCGCCTCCCTCTTCTTTCAGGTCGCCTCTGCGAGGAGCCAGGCCCCCGCGGCCCCACCCAGCGGATAACAATATCTCCCCGGCTTTGGGCTTCCAGGCTCTCGGCCTAATGCAGACCAGATGCCGGCCTCCCTTCCTGCGGTGAAGTTTCCACGGCCTGCTCCCACCCCCTTCCTGTTTTGGCTTCTGGCTCGGCCCCCCACTAAACCCTCTGGTGCCCCCACCTTCCTCTGCCCGGCAACCTCGGCCTCACCTGGAAACTATGAATGGGAAACGGGAAGAGGGAAAGGGGAGCAGCTCCCATCACCCCGACAGGAGGAGGGGACAGGGCTCAGCCCGCGGGGGCAGGGTGCCCGGGACAGTAGAGCCCCGCAGCCCCTTTCTGGACAGGAGACCTCACCCTCAGCTGCGACTTAGAAAACTCAGGACCAAAAAGGCGCCGGCCCCGTCCTGCCAACAGGAGACTAGGCGCTGGGCCGGCTGGACTTCCAGTAAAAGCCGTCGTCGCCTCCAGGGGCTGCGTCCCGCCTGGCCTCCCCCTGCCAGGAGCCGGCCTGGCCACGAGGGGAGGCTCTCGGGAGGCTGCCCGGCCACCTCCAGGCTGGACGGCGGGAGCCAAGTGTGCACACCTGGCTGGGCCCCGGCACTTGGCAGGGTGGCCTGGGGCAGGCCCGAGGGACTGGGTGTTGGTGGCAATTGGGGAGGAGGGGGACTCTTCCTTTGTCCTCTCAATCCTCTGACCCCCCAGGGCAGCCAGGGTGGCCCTCTGAGTGAGGACTGCCCGTTTCCATGGAAACAGCCGCCAAGGGCTGCCTCTGGCCACCGCTCCCTGCTCCAGCTGTGGGGAGTGTTTGGACAACTGGATGGAATGTTTTGTAGCCAGAATTCTCCCAGGATCCCGGCTCGGATTTCAGGAGGGAGGGAGGGAGGGAAGGAGGGAGGAGAAGATGCGGTGTGGAGGGAGGGGGTCAGATGTGCCTGCGGGGGGCCTCCAGGCCTGCCCGGAGACCACTGCTACCCCCCTGGCTGGAGTGTGAGCTGGAATCGGGCCCAGGCTCCTTGGGGAAGGGCAGGGCCCAGGGTGGAGGCTGCGATGGTGTCAGAGATTTGGTCAGGCCCACGTGGTGAGGTCAGGCCCTGGGGACAGTCTGGGCTGAGCGCAGGGCTGGGCCCAGGAAAGCACTTGGAGAACGCTAAGATCCTGGGACACAGA